TGCCGTAATTATATCGTAACGATAAGAAATGACAAATATTATTGCACGAACAAAAAATGATAAGCAGGGAAACGATAAATATATGTACGATAAAGAAAAGAAAAAAATATGGAAGCGATTACTCAAATAAAACGAATCGGGTAAACAGAATTAATGGATACAATTGAAGAATTTGACGACGATATTGGGCGATGATTAGTTGATTGAAATTTTGGTCGACTGAAGCGTGCAAATGAACGTCGACTAAGTTATGATTGCGTAGTACAACGATAGTTTCAATCAATTATTGACTTGGCTGATTATTCTCTGATTAATTATTCATTACATCAATCGATTAAATTGTCCATCGTTATATATATGACGATTGGTTAATTTTGACGGTTGATTTGCCGACTATTTTAGTCATCCGAGATGTTTTAATCGATTAACGCCAAGCGCACCGCTTCACAACGCTTTTCGATGCTTGTCACTCGGCGCGCTTTTACGTCCCGTTGGCTGCGAATTGAGCCTTCTTCGTCGAGCGCGACCGGGGAAAATTGGGTTTCGCGGATTTAGCGGATCCTCAGCGGGATCAGCTCGCACAGCGCGAACACAATCGAATTGACTCAGTTATTATGAGAGTCGATGATCCGCCAGTTAGTGGTGCCGCGCCGCGCCGGCATTTTTCGTTACGCAACACTTCGGCCAGACTGGAATAATCGCTTTAACGAGTCGCGGCGCCTCGTTACGCGCCGCAGTACCTATCAATTTTCTAGACAATGAACGAGAGCTCCTCTATACACACTTCCCTCGGTAGTTCTCCAAAGAGAATCTCGGAGAGCTTCTCTTCCCTCGTCCACCGCGCCGAAGAGAAACGCGTCATTACAGTGTAATCGTTCGGTGACAGGGGGATGTTTCCTTTGGAAATTATTACCTCGTAAATTACATTACGAACACACCGAAAATCTCTCGCGACTTGCTCCTTCAGACGCAAGAAAAGGGAGAACTCGAAAGGCGGCTCTCAATACACTATATAAAAGTATACGGCTTTTTCCATCATTCCGTTCGACCCAGTCACGAAAAGACGTCCTTTATAAGTGGGCCGCGAACAAAAATTTTCGTTTGGAGGGTAAGAACTTATATATATTATAAATATAAATATAATTATATATATATATATATATATATGTATGTGTATATATGTAATTATAAATCATACACATACTTAATTATACATACCACTCGTTTCTTCGTAATGAAAGCGTTCAGTCCTTACGATTCCGACAATATCCCGCGCAGCATCTCAAGGTGTTCCTAGGGTGGGCGAAACTATGCGGCACACCGCCATGAGCGGTCCGATACACATTACGGAAATCTGTAGCGGATACAGTAGCGAATTGTCGGAGGCACACGGCGGTAGTCGTCGAGAAAGAGAGAGAGAGAGAGAGAGAGAGAGAGAGAGAGAGAGAAAGAAGAGAGATGAATACATATATATACATGCGATACATACGTGGAGGGAGCATGGGCCGTTTAACGCTATTAAAGTACCGCGGCTCGCGGTGTACGTACGTGTGTGTGTGTGTGTGTGTGTGTGTGTATGTGTATGTGTGTGTGTGTGTGGTGTGCACCCGGCGGTGCAGGCGCGTAGACGTGCATACGTATCGGGTGATACGCGTACATATGTGTGACTAACCGCTCGCGTACGGGTCAATGCCTCGCGAGCTGTCTCCCGAGAGCGCGCGCTGCCTGTATATATATATATATGTATATACATATGCTTACGTATACGGCGCGGCTACCTTTTCCAAGCACGCGTTTCAAGTGTCCCGCGCACGCACGCACGCACGCATCGCGCGGTGCTTCCGCGAGGGAGAGACCCGAGCGACATGGTGATGCGTTGGTAACGCACCGGAATCTTATCGAGTCCGAGAAGAGGCCCGCGCGAGGCCGAGCCGGTAAAAGTCGTTAAGTGTAACGACGGCGGTGACATCCATTTTCATCAGCACGCTCGAATCAATCAGTCTCCCGGTGTCGACTAGTGCTGTACGTCGATTCTGATGAGCGAACACCTGGTATCTCGGCTATTTAGGTTTACACAGACCGGTGTAATAGCCTGAACATTTTGCGCGACTAGGTTATTAGGATTTTTTAATTGCAGGCAATATTGATTTTTTTTTGCTATTTATTGTCCAAAGTAGGTGGAACGACGCGGTCAAAGCGGTACGTCTGCCACGAGTGGTAGCTTTACGTTAATGTCTGGAAAGGAATTCGTATGACTAGAAAGTGATAAACTGGTAGACTTGTGCTGAATGTTAAGGCTGTTATGCCGATCCCGCGAATGCTTATTATCGATATATCGATAGTTCTCAGGACGGTCGAGTCCGAGTATCCAGTTATTTGCTTCTTATACTCGCTTCTTTGTTCTCCGAGTTATTTCGTGTGTGAAACCATTGAGATAAGATCCACGAGAGGCGGTCATTGTTTACTTGAAATATTCAGTTTTCCACACGTCAAATATACGTGAAAATAAGACATTGAATATCCGGCGAAGCACTGATCTTTTCTCGAACTTGTTTTAATATTTTCTTACGCGGTCTCAAGCGATACAAAGTTAACAAACACGTCTATAGCCGAACATCAACGTCCGACTCACGACTCACTTTAATTACCGCATCGAGAATCAACTCGAGGCTCATCGTGATTTTCTCTCATACGAGAATATACTCGTATGCGAAGGCAAATACACGCTGCTACAAAAGAATATTTTCCGGCCTCGGGTGTGTGCCCGGGTATAAAAACAACCGGTTCACGTCGACAGCGCCAATCGCGCCGTCGAGGCGCGTCGAGGCGTCGCGGTCGCGATCGCCCGCGCCGGGGCTGGGAGAGTTCCGCGTCCCCGGCCGACGAGCTCCGCGGGCGGACGCGTTTCCACGCGCCGATTATGATAGAGCGCCATTATCGCGGAATGGTATTCCTTGTAAATCGAATTACGGTAACCGACCGCGCGGCGGGTGGCTGTTTGCGGCGACTCGTGGTCGCGCGAGGTCACGCCGGCCGCGAGGAGCTCGTAAATGTTAGAGAGGCGCGCGCGCGTCTCCGATCCGGTCGGTTTGCCGTCGATACGCCGATCATCATACGGCGATCGTGACCGATCGGGGCGGGATCGTGACTCCCATTATCATCGCAGGTAACCTACAAAACTAAGCATCCGTGCTCCGTGTCTTCGCGGTGTGTCGTCGCGGCGGAATCGTCGCGCGGCAGCGGACCGTGAAGCGCTATCGCGAGCGCGAACGAGTTCGGTCTTTATCAGGGCGGATAAGATTATCTGCATACAGGACGAGCGAGGTGCGAAATGCAATCACTATCGCCATGATAGCCGGGCGTTTAATACACACGATCACGATCATCACGTGATATGCATTTTCTCATCTGCGCGCGAGAAGCAGCGAGCGTCGACTTTGCCGCGCGAAGGTGTCGTCGTGTCGGTCGGAGAGTATTTTTGCGATCGCGGCCGGAAGGATAGCTTTTATCCTGATGGGGGGGAAGAAAATACTGCGATTTGAATGGAATTGTTTCTGGGATTCTACCGATTATCAACGCGACATATTTCCAGCGGAGCGCTGGAAACGGCGGCCTTTTTTGGGGACGTTCATTCAACGGCCTCTTTTTCTTTTTGATATCCGTTGGGAATGCAAAATCGCTAGATAAATTCGAATCATTTTTTATCAGAAAATTACAAATCGGTCTGTTTTAGTCGCTTGATAGTTCTAGAGTTAAATATCGAGGCGAACTAACTGTCCCAATCTCGTCTCGGCAATATTTTGGCGTTCTTTCAAGCTCCTGTTTGTACGAAACGAATTCAAAATTTTGTTCAGCTCAATAAAACGATCATAAAGACTATATTTCAGTTTTGTTAATCGCTTTCAGCGCTAGTTAAATTCTTCCGTTAGTAACAAAATTAATTCGTTAATTTTTTATTTTATTTTTGTATAACTCGAATGCTTGATTTCAGACTCTCCGATCCGGCTCAATTTCTCTTCAATTTGACCGGAATCCACTTTGCGCGACAAAATTTGCATAATTCTGAGACTTGTTCTTCTTAAACGACTTTTCCTCAGTGTTGCGCATCAACAGCAGGAAGAATTGCGTGATACTTCTCGTACGGTTCGAAGCGCACGAGGTTTCTCGAGAAGACGAGGGAAAATGATTCACGCGCGGTTACGTTTACTTTGCCGCTAGATTCTTCTTCTCACTCAGTTTCGCTTCGAATTATAGCTGAAAATCCATCGAAATTACGCACACGTCGAATTGAGTGCAGTTTCACCGAAATCACACTTAATTACACACACACACACACACGTACGGGCGCGCACGTGCGCGTACGTGTGTGTGTGTGTGTTTCTTCGGAAAAAAGAGATCGACTGAAACACGATTCGAAACGATCCGAGGTGTGGAACGATCGATCGGCGAAATGAACATTTCCAGTTGCTGTAATAATGCACTCGGAGCTGGTGCGCGCTATCACCTCCGCGCTCCGTCCTGGCGGAACGCACCGCGTGAGTGAGGTACCGTTTGAAAACATCACGAAGCAAATTCCGCGCGAGTCGTTCCGCGACACAGGCGATCGCTCGGCGTGCGCGATTTCGCAGGCTTGGGAGGGCGGAGGGCGGGAAACGAATAAGGGAAATTAACGATTTCTCTGATCTAAGATCAGCAGTCCACATCGACCGCGCTGGACGAAGACGCACTTTAATCGGGACAACGTGTATCATTGTCTCCCCGAGATTTTATTATTTCAGCGTTAGTTTGATGTTCCAATTTCTGGCGTCAGATTGCCGCCTTGACTTGCTTTTTGCGGACGTTTCTTCGATTTGACACGATTGCAGCGAGAAAACTTTCGTAACGCCGCCGCTTGGTCCTTTCTAGCCGATTTCTTTCTTCGTAAATCGAACATGCGCCGACGAGATTTCCGATTTCACTGCCTCTCTCAATAACCAGTTTCTCCATTTCTGATTTTTCAGCGAGTCGGACATGGCGCCGAACGCGGAGGAGGAACTGCTGGTCGTGAAGCCGTGGGGACCGCAGCCGGAAAAGGTAAGGTGGAAACGACGTAAGGTAAATTACCGGTGTCCCGGCGAAGAAAGAACGCTGAAAGAGGAACAGAGAAGAAGACGATTGTGTCGCGTGTCGGCCCGCTAGGGCGTGTAAATGGCCGCGGAAACTTTATGATGTAACTCGAGTCGCGTTAAACAGCCGTTCCACGCACACCAGCGAGAGCCAGGATGTTTTCGATTAGCATATCTTTTAACTTTGAGTAAATATAGAGGAGGCAGGTAGGGCGGCGACGCGGCCGCTCGTTTTGCTCCTCCGCGCCGTGAGAACTCCATCACCCCGGCTCCTCGGTTGACATGCGACAAGAAATGGAACATTAAGAAAACGGTCGGCGGGCTGACTGACTGGCTGCTTGGTCGCTCGCTCGCTCGTTCGCTTGCTTGGCTGGCCTTTCGAGCTGAAGTAGCAAAGTCACTTTCCGCCTTGACCTTGTCGCTAACGGCACACGCGTTTACAACTTGATCGTGCACGCGCACGTAAACGTGAATAACGCGTGAATAACAAGCGAATATTCCCAAGCGCTTGATACTCTCTCGCGCTGTCGGAGGTGCTTGTCGTGCCGGAGATGCTTGTAGTATCATACATACATTTTTGCGTTATCCGAGATGCTTGGGACGTTATCAGAGATAGGCTGCATCACGAGCTCGCTCGAGCTACGTCGCTAAAATGACGACTATCAGCGAGCGGGGGCGACCGCGTTTAGAATCGAGTCTCCGCGGCTCGCGGGAATCGCGCGCCGCGGATATTAATATACGTCGCGACAATTCACGAGCGGTAATCCGGTATTTATCACGGGCGGCTTGATCAATCGTCTGTTGTGATAGCGATAATTCATAATTATTCCCGGCCGTTTTGATTAATCGAGCAGCGCGCCACTTATCGCGCGTGTTGCTCCGACAAATCGCGCCGCGACGCGCCCTGCCTGCGCGTTCACGCCGTGCACACGCGCGTGTTTTCACTCGGACACTCGCGCGTGAAAGTCGCGCGAATTTTACCCGGGCGAGTGCCGGCACATCGAAATCACTCGATCGGCGACGAAATGGATGAAAATGGAAATCACGCGCTCGCGCGCACGCGGATGAGCTCGAAATTAGATCGACTGTGACGGGATATCGCGTGCGTCTACTATACAGCGGCGCTTCATCGTCGCGGGAAAGTCGAGAACCGGGAGAATTTGCGATTTCACTTAAATCGCGTGGAATGCGTAAGATAAAAACACGCGGGAGATTAATGACTCCTGTCGAGAGTCGATTATCGGATCATCGAAAGTGTTGACGAACCAAGTCCGGTAATTGTATCGTCAGGACGCCGTCTCGGGGCCCTCGGGGGGATTTCACGGTATTGTTAAGCGTCGGTTGATTAGCATCGGTTAAAAGTCAATTCAGCCGGTTAATTAGTCAGTCAGGAGCAGCAGCGCCCCTGTGGACTAATTAACGAGCGAGCGATGTTCGCAGTCGTGCAATTGTCATCCGATGGTGATCTTTTTACCGTTCCGACAGAGAGAGAGAAAGAAAGATAGAGAAAGAGAGAGAGAGAGAGAGAGAGAGAGAGAGAGAGAGAGAGAATTTGTCAAGTAACAATAATATTTCTAATATTAGTATCTGTTAGCAATATTTCTAACGTCCAAGGACGAGAATTTGTGAAAAATAACTCACGGAGAAAAGTGTTTCATCGAATTCCAGTGAAATGCGAACGATACAATAATTTCAGTTGAGCGGAAAAATTCTGTTGACCAGAAATAATAAGTCGGAGTGAATTCGTTCGAAACATTTTTCTCCGTGCGAGGAGCTCGTCTGTAATACGCTCGTTCCCGCCCTACCGCGGCTTTTCAGGAAATTGTTTCACTTTTTAGACTTTGATATATATTTCAGAACAACGCGTGTCCAGCCTTTTTCTCGCTCTCTCTCTCTCTCTCTCTCTCTCTCGGCTCCCTCGGTTTCTTCTTCGTTCGACAAAACACACTGCGGTCGGTAGCCGATATTTCGCGAGGTGCCGCTTGGCGAATGCCATGGTTATTACTGCGGTTTCGTCGACAATGCGATAGTTCCCGCACGGAGGGAACACCGCGCGACCGCACGAGCTCGCCGACGTGTCGGACGTGAATTTTCTGACTTCCTGTCCGCTCCCCTCTGCCGCGATTATCCTCTCGTGCACAAGTTCGCCCGACCAGCTCCAAAGCTTTCTTTTTACGTACATGCATGCAATTATATTATAATCGTACAACAACGCTTTTTCCGCGCTAACGCCTGCGTGCCACGTGAAATCGCCCGTTCGCGCGAACGAGAGACCGGAATAACATTCGGATAACGCGCGCGCGCGCGCGGTCTTTCATTCGGTCGATTTTAATTGACGACCGCCGGATATATTCTCCGACGTGAATTACGCTGCTTATTGCTACCAGTATTCGAGGCGGACTCGACCAACCGCTCCGGCCGTTTAATAAACTCACATCGCTACGTTGAAACCGAGAGGACGAGAGGTAAGAGGGAGCGAGACCGCGTGTATACGTGTGCTTACGGGAACGATTCTCAATGTAATGGACTCATTTGAATAATTCATACACACTTCCGTGTGTACGTCAATAGCGGAATGCTTCATAATTTATACATTCGGTATATAAACCGTAAGCATGAAAGTAAATCAATTTCACGTAATTTGTTCGCGTGGTATACAACGGCTGCGTATTAGCGAGGAAACACAAGTCGATAAGAATCGCGATTCCATGATAATGAAACGCTGAAAACCGAGAAAGGGGGCGGGCCGCGCGACTGTCTGTCTTTTATCTTTACGGTCGAGGCCGAGGAGTGCGTTCACTTGTATGAATTTATATAATCGTGTACTGAGAGGAAAAAGGTATCTAAAAAGATAAAAGAACATTTATTCGGTATAACTATCGTGCTAATATTTATTTATATCAATGTACCAATGTATTTTTACACTAAGATAAATTTCTCGTCGAGTGACAAGATATACATTTACTCAATTAGACCTTAGCTTTCCGCGGAAAAGCAATTGCTCATGCTGTTTACACACAGAAGAATCTGAATTTAAGTAAATTTAATATTACTCATTGAAAGATACTCTTCATTTTTTAATAATTATTTTTCTCGCTGTGGTAGCAAGCATGTTATGATATTAACGCGAATTTACGTCGATACGAATTGATAATAAGACAGAAGTAAGCGTGATTTATATATCAATGTAAATTGATATCTGAGAACTATTATATTAATTCACAGAATTAATATTGACAGAAATTGAAAATATTAACATAGTTTCAGTGCGATTGTAAATTGACATTAACACGAATATTCAGAATATTCGTCATTGTTTATCATCATCGGAGGATCTATTCTCTCAGTCACACAAGTCAAGCTCAAGTTTCGTCGAAAATGACGTACTTGTAGGCTGACGCAAGTCAACGATTGACGGCACAAACGATTGATTTTGATGATCGATCCGACTTTCATTATGGTACACGTTCTCGCGCAAGCTTCAGCCGCGCTTCGCTAGTTACGGACAGCGAGAAAAGACGATAATCACCATGATTCTATCGATTTACGATCGGAAGCGCCGTGAAATTAGCCGGAGATATCTTCCTACCCTTCGACATGAATATTTCATGGTCGCAAGCGGCAATAATTCTCGTGCTCTTCGAAATTCATGCGACGTGGCTCGCCACGTCGCTATCCTAATTCAATGCAAATGAAAAAGATGTTTTGTCCTCTCGCTATTCGCTGGTTTCACTTTGTCGTACCGACGATGCTAATTGCACCTTTTACCTCAGCTTTATCTCTCTCCGTATCTTCACTTCTCGTCTTTATCTCTTTCTATCTGTATTTACTCTCTTCATCACTGTTATATCCCTTGTTTACATGATCTTTAACTTCCTTTTCTCTAGCATCATCATCTCGCTCGTCTGTTTAATCTTTGACTCAACAACCCTACTGACTCCGCCAGCGAATATTCGCGGAGTAAGATAACGCGCGGCGTTGAAACCCGACTTTATCTTTATGAAATAATCGATCTGTTTGCAGGAACGCTTAAGACCACCCACATACAACGCCGAGGATTACGCGATCGCGCTGAGGCGATGGGGAAGACGGCCGTTGGGGAGCGTGCAGGACTCTCAAGGTACCCTGCCGTCGACGACCAGCTCGAGTTCCGGTTACGCATCCGGAAGTGGCGAAATGACCTTGAGACAATTCACGTCGGTTAGCGAGCTGCTGAATAAACTCCGCGCTGACCTTAGACTCGCCTTTCCGAGGTAAGTGCTCGCCGACTGAAACGGAATCGTGATTGATTCGATGTGCTGTTCTCTCTCTCTCTCTCTCTCTCTCTCTCTCTCTCTCTCTCTCTCTCTCTCTCTCTCTCTCTCTCTCTCTCTCCGTTAGAGTGCACGTTCACTGCGAATCCCCTCGCGAGACTACATTAAGGCAGATAAGGCACTGATCTCTGCACGGTCAAGTACGAAATCGTACTCAATTATAAGTCAACGCGTTGAAATAACGCGTGCCCAAATAACGTAGTCCGAAGCGGCAAGAAACGTATAAAAAGAACTCGAGCCAAAATAACATGAGGCACAACTCGACTCAGCTCAGCTCGACGAAATCGTTCGTTCATCACGCTCGCCGCGGTAACGCATTCCCCGCCGTCTTGCCCCCCTCCCCCCCCGTCCGGACGCGCGAAATGATTAAGAGAATCGCGTGATTATTGCTTGGATTTTTCTCGCCACTCGTCGACGCCGCGCTGCCGCCGCTCAGAAGATCGATGCTGTTTGTCTCGCGAACGAGGCGCTCCGGGCACGTGCAGATGCATTCATATTGATTCGCGGCTGGAGCGCTTAGTCGCGACCGCTATCGTGGCCGACGGTTAATTGACCGTAATAATCGCGAGAGACGTCGCGATAAGCGATGACGCTTTTTGGAGAGTTTGCAATCTCGAGCCGCGTCTCTGGTTTCCGCGCTCGGCTCGTCGACTCGTTCGTCGTTCTCCATCCGTTCATTTATTTATTCGTTCAGTTAAAATTTATTTTTCTTCGTTTCTCTCTCTCTCTCTCTCTCTCTCTTTTTCTCTCTCCCGGATCGTTTGGTTTCTCGTTACGCAGTTCTAATTCGCACGTTCGAAACGCGCATCGACGCGAGACGACAAGCCGCGGATTCAAGCCGACATGATCGGAATAAAAAGAAGCGCCGGACGAGGAGCACCGAATAATCGCAAGCGACCGAGCAAATTCTACGGACGGAGATGAAGCGCGGCAGGATCGAACGAATCGTAACGGGAAATAGCGGAGCGCAATTGGAGCGCGCGTGAGCACGCGCTTGTGCGTGCGATAAAAAAGCGGCGCGAAATATACCCTCGCCGAAAGAAAAGAGAGAAAAACTAATGAGCTGTCGAACCGTGGTTTTCCGTTCCGCTTTTCCAACAGATGCCACATTGCTCTCCTCCGTCTGCCTCGTCGGCGGCTCACTTGATCGTCGCGTGATTATCTCATTGAAATTATTGCACTAGACGAAATTGCACCTCGCCATTTTGCAACGCCGTAAATACTACATGATTATACGATTAAAACTCTTTGTTGGCACACACACTCGATATTGCTCTGATATGCTTTGAATGATTCGCAAATGCACTTATCCAATGTGCAGATCTCATTATCTGCAAATGTACAAAGAGAGAGAAATTTGGGAAAACACCCCTCGGGCTCGTTATCTTTGGGATAAAGAATTCAAGGACGGATAATCTTTGAAGTATCGGGGCTTGACTCATAAATGGGTTCTTCTGAGAAATCAGGACCGTCTTATTGGCATTTAATTACTTTATCTATTAATTTTATACAGAGGTAAGCAAAGTGAAAGAATCTACGTTTATGTGGGTTTTATTAATTTTCCGCTGGACTCAATCTGACCCGTGAGCGCCAGGCTAGCATTAATCACACGACATATCGTTAGTTAGAAAACCCCAGCTGGCGCAACTGTCGCAATTTTCGCCGACTCTAAAGTCGAAGCGGTTTCTCGTTTATAAACGATTTACATGGCGATCGGAGGGTGATCGACCGCGTGTTCCGTTTGCACCCGAGAGAGAGAGAGAGAGAGAGAGAGAGAGAATGAGGGGAGAAGAGAGGAAAGAGGCGGCTCAGGCCCGTTAGTCTAGCAGATGATTAAAGGCGACGCGCAACATGAGATTTTTGCGAAGGCTGTCGTTCGCGCGCTTCTCGCGCTTCGAAGGACGAACGCGTTGATGGCTCTATCCTGGCGCGAGCGCGCATGAGCATGGCGTCATATGGCTGACGAGTGTCCTAGATAAATGAGTTATAATATGCCGCGAAGAGCTCGGTCTCGGCAGCAGCAGCGGCGGCGGTGGTGGCGGTGGCGGCGGCGGCGACGGATAAGCCGTAAGTAGCGGCTCCGGGATAACCGAATGCCGATATTACGGCTAACTGTATAGTGGCGCACCGCCGCAAATCGATCCGGCCGCGGCCGCATCCTCTGTTGTAGCCCGGCGAAACAGCTGAAACGACAGGTGTATCATTTCGCCGAGGCCCTATTAGCGCGCTTAATCGTACTTCCGTGGATTCGCGCCGCGCCGGAGGCGCGGGCCTTCCGACGCGGACGGAAGGAGAACTCTCCGACCGTTTCGTGTACGTAACGGTAGTTGGTGGTCGTTCGATGACCGTCGAAAAATCCAATTGTCGAAAGTAACACAGGACGAGAGCTCGTCTCGACGGCGGTAGCGTCGCTCGCTTGAGGAGTAGGATGCGATAAGGCGCGCTTTGCGCGGGTGCGTTTGAGACAAATGGAGCTGGAAGTTGGGAAGTTGCGAATAATTCGGTGTAGAAAAGACGAAAAGCGAGAGAGAGAGAGAGAGAGAGAGAGAGGAGCTTCGCTCCTCGTCGCTGCCGCGTTGATTGTGCGAAAGCTTCATTGATCATCAAAGTTTACGCTAAACTTGTTGATGCGCGTGCATTTTTATATTTTTTTGCCAGCTCGTCTCTTGCAAACTCTCTATTCTCGCTGTATAGAGAATGTTTTCCAGGTAAGATCAATTGCTTGGATTTTTATCGTTAGATATCATTTTTATATTGTTCTGTGTCAGTACTCGTGTTGTCTGTCATATTATTTTTATCATATTTATATTATTTTTATTATATTTATTTTCTACTTTCTGAATGAGACTTGATGAAACGCGCGATGGCATTGTAATGCCAGGTGAACGCCGCGGCATTCAGCGTGTTAAATATATTCACTGTAAAAAACGCCAACGTGCGGCAACTTATGCTCGCTGCGAAGGGAGTTCATCAGGCGTGTGGTCGTTATTGGCTATGCGCCGCATCCTCCTTGTGTTGCCTCTGTCAATTATACCAGCCGGTCTAATGGCGAAGCCACGCGGCGCGGCTTTCCAATGAATTTACGGTCGACGAGCGTATCTTCCTCGCAGGAAGCCCGATGAAAATTCTACGGAACGGACACGGCGGAAGTCGCATCGAATTAGATGAGGCCGATAGCGTAGCATTATCATCAATCCACTTTCTCCCAATAAAGCCGGGACGAAAAAAGAACAGAGGAGAAGAAGAAGAAAATGAATTGCAGCCGATCGGAATCCGTTTCATCCTCCCGTTGATGAGCTTTCGTCGAGTTTTCACGCGAGTCCACGGTGGTCGTAGGCCGTCAGGAGTTTATGCTCCATTTCATGGACCAAGTCCGCTCTCGCGCACTCGTTAGTCTGCTCGTATTACCGTTTGCGCTTCATTCGCGCTCGAGGCCACGTCCGAGATTTCGTCGATCGCGCGATCAAACGATGATTAATTTTTAGAGGACCGCAGTTGTTTTCTTCGACTTTTTTATTTTAAGTATTTGGTTAAGAACTTTATTATTAACATCATTGGGTTGAATGACGAAAAAGATGGCGCGCCACTTTCGCGCCAATATATTGGCTTCCGACTTGCGGAAAAGAGTCAGGATCCTTTTTTTTTAGTTTTTCAACTTAACGTTATTAGATATTATTAGAATAATTGTTTAACATCATTTTAGAGAAAAAGTTTGACAAATAACATATATAAAAATTTTTATACCGCAATTTATGATGTAGAAGACAGTCAAAATGCATCATATATATTTATATACATCAATTTATTTCGCAATAAATGCATACTTTGTCGAAAATATGAAAAAAGTAATTGGAAAAATAAGAGGACTAATGCTTTTACAATACATTTAGTAATTTTTCTTGGTGTGGTACAGTTTGAAGCACAGTACAACGCAAAGACGGTGCATCGCATTCACCGCAAATGAATAACAACAAAAGTATAACAATAAGTATTATCGGCTCGACAGTCATATCACAGAGAGCGTTTGCCCGATCCTGTTTACAAATCGAAACTGGTACAATACAAAGTATAACGTATAAGCGAATATGATAGAAATATAAAAGTAGAATATTAATAAATTAAAATATCCTACAATAGTAAGTTAAAACCTGATAAATTGGCTCTCGGGCCTCCAATGGCAAAAGCAGTTAAAAGCCAATAAATTGGTTTCCGGTCCTCCAAAGGTTATAAACCGCCTTTCGCACGTACGCGATCATACCGTCGCTGATCAAATCCGCGCACAGTGCGACGTCGCGACGCGTGACGCATCTCTTGCGCGGCGAAACGCGCGGGGAAACGCGCGGGAAAGAAGGGCCGAAGGGAATGCGGCGACGCAAGAAGCGAGAGAAATGTGGGCGGCGATACGCAAAAGCGTAAATGAAGGGTTCTTGCGTCGGCCGAGCGGGAGGCACGACCCTCTAATTAGCCCCCGAGGGATCGTCTTGATTAATTAATAGGGAAAAGGGCGAAGAGGAATGGCAGTCGCTCGCGCGAACAAAGGGACGAGAAAATGGCAATTCTATAGAAACTTTTACATATCTCGGGTTTCTTGAATTTGTTGTGAGCGAAGGGTGAAGTTGTGAGATGGCGCTGTTCGAATATATTCAAAGTAATTCGCCGGTATAATTCGCCGTCTATGATGGATTTTCGAAGCTGCGAGTCTTCGGATTCTTATCGAAAATTTTAATAATAAAATTTTAATATCAAAATTTTAATGCAATTACCTTTGGTGGGTGAGCGAACTCGCTATTTTCTACCAAGGCGAACCTTCCGCATCTTCCCTCGACAAGCCACTTATGAGCTGAAACAGTCTCTGCGGAGACTGACGCGCTTAATGAAAGAATGTAAATAAAGAGCAATTAAAGACGTTTGGACTGACAATAATGAAATTAGCTCGTTCT